TTCACTTAGAGGTTAAATCACATTATTAAAAGATCTTAAGAAAAAAATACCATTTTTTCCTCTCATCGCTCGAAGCTGAAGATTCCCCATCACGTCTCCTTCTTATATTTAAAGGATGAGCGGCTCAGCGTGTGAGATATCTCCCTCTGGTGTGAGATATATCTCTGCTTGGTGTGAGATATCTCTGTTTGGTGTGAGATCTGTGAGGTATAAGATGTTGATGGATAACTTGTGTGTGTGGGGGGGTGGGGGAGGGGAAGAGAAGGGAGGATGTGAGATACAAAGAAAGAGAGGATAAGCAAGAAATAGAGAAAAAGAGATAGGAAAATAGCCGCAGAGAAGGAAAAGGGAAAATGGTGATAGAGTAAAAAAAGATGATATAAACAGAAAAGGTGAAATACAAAAAGAGAAAGGACCAGAGGGAGATAAAAAGAAAAAGGAAAGCGAGAGAGGGAGAGAGACAGAGAGAGAGGAACACCTCACACACCAGCCAGCTACGTGGTATAAAACATTCACCACCTCAGCACGACGAACGAGGTAGTTGGGTCATTAGCGCACCCCTGTAAACAACTTTACTACCCGTGCCATTAAAGAGTGCCACTGCAGGCAGGTGAGGGAAGTACCACTGCAGGCAAGTGAGGGAAGTACCACTGCAGGCAAGTGAGGGAAGTACCACTGCAGGCAAGTGAGGGAAGTACCACTGCAGGCAAGTGAGGGAAGTACCACTGCAGGTAGGTGTGGGAAGAGTGCCATCATATATATATGATGGCACTCTTCCCTCAACTTTTGCCGGCAGTGCCACTGTTCCCTCACCTTATGCCGGCAGTGCCACTGTTCCCTCACCTTATGCCCGCAGTGCCACTGTTCCCTCACCTTATGCCCGCAGTGCCACTGTTCCCTCACCTCATGCCTGCAGAGCCGTCTTACCTCACCTTCCTCTTGCCTGCAGTGCCATTCTTCCTTCACCTGCCTGCAGGTGTGTGTGTGTGTGCAGACTCATAGGCTCGCACATAGATATATTATGTAGAAACAGATACGAGTATTCACACACACACACACACACACACACACACACACACACACACACACACACACACACACACACACACACACACACCTACACACACACACACACACACACACACACAACCTTCAGCTACTGCCACGCAACAGCAAATTCAATCAAAGAATTACCAACCAGGAAAAACATCGACAAACTTGACCAGCTGGTCCTCAAGAGAGTCAGCTGAGCAAAACTCTTAGTCGTAACGTCCGCCAGTCGGGACCACGGGACTGAAAAATATCAACTACCCCATGTTAATAAAATATACTCAGCGGGATCGAGTGTAGTGACGGTAGCGGTGACGTCGGTGTCCTGACTCCTCAGTTGATGTAAAATGTGTTTACCTGAAGGTAGCAAGCTTTTTTTTTACTAGTATTGAGCGTTGTTAAATCTCTCTCTCTCTCTCTCTCACACACACACACACCAACAGCAATCGAGCTATCTGTCTTCATCTTACACAATACTTGACCTGTGCGGCCGTATATTGACTCGTTCTGTTTACGCTCGACCCTATTTGTTGACGTAACCGAGAAGATCCCAAACGGGTTCCCATGAGACAAGAAAATACCGCCCGCTCCCTAAAAAAATAAAAAATAAAATAAAAAATAAAAAACAAGCAAGCTTTTGGGTGGATAGATGACATAATCAAGTTTGGTGCTGGATGGACTGTATAGAGGCTCATGACAAAAACTGTGGAGGGCTGTGATGATGGTGAGGAAGAAGCGGAGGAGGAAGAGGTAGAGAAGAGGAGGAAGAGGGTAATTATGAAGAGGAGGAGAAGGAAGAGGAAGGAGGAGGCGAGAGATATAGATCGCCATATAAGTTTAGTATGTGCGTAGAAAGAACTGGTATGTAAACAATGGTAATCAGTATGTTGATCTAACCAAATATCGATAGATAGATAGACAGATAGATCACCATCATCCAATATCACGCCACTGTCACCCACTACCACTACCACTGTTACTCACCACCACCATCGTTACCCACCACCACACCGCCACCTCCATCGCGCACCCACCACCTCACTGCCACCTTTCGTCGGCTGCCAGATACAGTATATACAAAGATCCCTTTGAGAAGTTCCCAACAGTCATGAGTTCTATCCTGGGCTGTCACATCTCCACTAGGATATTCAACATGCAAATTGAACTCGGTCTTCCTCCCTTGTTGTGAGAGAATACGCTATTGTCTCTTGCTTTAGTGTCAAATTCAGTGCGGGCATAGGTAGCGCCCTCATGAACGCCCGCGAGGATGGCTGTGCTCTCAGATCTGTGGACTCTGATATACCTGCGGGCTTGGCGTTCAAGGATCCATACAGCTACCCCGGCTCTTCCCAGCATGGTGAGAGGTCATGAGATGAGGTGGCATCGTCGATCTGCTCTGTATAGACAGATAGATAGGAGGTATAGACAGATAGGTCGTCATTTGGGTGGATTTCTGATCAGTCATCTCACAATGCCAGCAAAGAATATGCCTCCCCGGTCCCTTACCCACGGCCTCAACGGAACATTGCACACTGACCGTTTGACGACTTCTTGCATGTCAATGAGAGCACTGGATGAGTTCTCACCAGTAGTTGACCCCCCACAGGCTTCTGAACAACTTATAGTGAATTGCATGGTTTAGATGCAGTTAATTTTCTTTTGAGGTCATTAAACGGAGTCTTAACATACAACACGGCACTTGGCTTTAACTCGCGAGAAATCTGTTGTCTTACATTTCCAGTATATTATATTTCATGTTTTTTATTACACAATGACACTGTTAACACTTTCTAAGACTGTTTGTGGTCTTGCTATCCCAAGTGATGGATGTGGGTGACGATGGTGGTGGTGAGTAACAGTGCTGGTGGTGGTGCACTTCTGCAAACTGTACTATGGTCACTATGGTCACTAGCCCCACCACCACCACATACCAACATTTACCTACGCCCAGTTATCTAGTTATAACTCACACTACACATACTTGAAGATGTTTTTGTATAATGTATCACTGCACTTCAACAACTACTATATACCAGATAATACACTAAGAGTTACTCTCTTAAATGTGGAGTTAACTCAGTCTTTGACTCACTTCATGCTATTCTTGACCGCATCATATTATTAGATCTGTCGCCCCCGAAATACTGTACAATGATTTTAAAAAGTAAAAAACAAATAGCAATTTCGAAAAGGTACTTACAGTACAGGCAACGCTGTGTAGCGTTAAATAGTTGCTTTACGACTAATATTTACGAGTATATTACTGTATATTAAAGAATTCTCATTGCCGGAAATATCTTTGTTTGGGCCTTATCACCTTTAACTAAGGTCATATGTGACCACGAAGGATTGTTATGGGAAAAAGACGAAATCCCAACAATCGCCGGAACCTTTCTGGGATGATATTTCGTTGGCTGCTCTGGCTAATTTCTCTAGCCTGTGACAACTCTGTTCTCTGTGCCACTGACGTTATAGGCTACTTAAACTAACCAGGCTTCATGAACATAACCCGTTCGCAAGTCATAATTTTGTTATTCATTGAGATATTTTAATTATATAAATTTTCATCTTAGGAAGGTTATGTTTGGTGAGGTTAGGTTGAAAAATAATTAGTTAACAAGCTCGGGAACGATAGGTTTGGTTAAATTACATAAGAATGGGTTTTGACAAAGAACATGATATTCGTGTTTCTACTAAAAACAAAACAATTCTTTAACTCTAAAAGTAATGAAAAAAACCGCCAGGCGCACTTATAAACATTTACCCAAGGTTGTAATCAAAACTTGAACTTTTTTAAATAAAAGTTACCTTATACAGTACTAAATCAGACTGACCTTTATTGTTGAGAAGACTCCTTTCAGCATTGTGTATTTCGTCATCAGAAATCCTTGAGCCGCTGGTAACTGGTATTTACAGTAAATATCAGTGTGGCATCAGTTTTAGATCACAGTAATTTTTGGCCGGATCACAACCCAATAATTCATATTTACGACTTCGACCTTTCTGTTCAGTAATGAAATATTGTTCACTTATCACTGCATTCTTCACCCTAATTGTGTTCTACGGCAACGTTTCACCTATATATCCTTGAACAGTATATTTTTTTATGGACTTGAGTGACACTTTTCATTGCGTCTCTCCCTGGAGTACAGTACACCAAACACTCTTGGTTCCCCATCAGTATTTTAGTTATTGTTTGTCAATAAATAATTTGTTCTGTTTTCGTGGTGCAATTCACAGTTCTACTTTCAGGTATCGTTACTTAATTCTAATAAATATCTACATTTACACGAAAATACACTGTTTTACACTGCCTTAAATTATGTACACGTATCCTTTACGGAGAGACTTCACTGACTCGTAATAGAGGCGAGGATCCTGACACTGCTGTTTAGTGTCACAAGCCTTGATGAGGCAAATCAGACGCTGTGAAAACATTAACAAATTTGTGAAGGAAATCAATTTCGCTGGTGGCAAATTTTGGTAATTTGGTGATGAATATTTATCATCCAAGTACCTGTTGAACAACAGAACCTTTTCAGTTTAGTTAAGGGCTTGTTATGTGTGAGGCCCTGCCACGGGCAGTGATGAAGACAAGCGTGCTTCATATTTATACGTAATGATATCCCAAATAAATACACTTAGAGCTCAAATTTCAACTGTAAATTATTAAATATACTACTCAAAAAAATATTAAAAGTAATGCATAATATTATTACACTCATTAGTAGAAATATCTATAGGCAAAATTATGAATTATAACATTTTAAGCTGGTGATCCTGTCAAAAAATCTTAATGTTAAAATACTTTCACAAATATAAACATAAACCATTTGTTATTCCTTTCTGTTTGAAGTATTTAACATATTATTAAATTAAAATAATTTAAAATATCATAATAAAGCAATCCTAAAGCAGTTTTGATCAGTTTGTGTAGTTCTAGGAGAAAAAAGGTTTAGCGGTCTGGGACGTGGTACTCTTCTAACATTGAATATTTTGCCACCGCTAGATGGCAGTCGACCAGTAGACGTCTGGAGTAGGTAGTGAGGCTATACGTCACTTCTCAAGGTAATTAAACATCAAAATAACCCCAAATATGTCCCATGTGTGGTGTAACAATCATGCCAAACCCAGAGGCTGCATAAGTTTGTTTAGTATATCTGGGGGAAACAATAAATGCATGATACGAACGGGGCAAGGTCAGAGGTGTTGCTGGAGATAATGCATGGGCTATTTTTAATTCTTTTGGTATTTGGGAGTGTTGCCCTGTGATATTATTTCCTTGTTAACAGTATTACATTGGTGTTGTACTTAAACACTGTGCAAGGTAGATGTAAGCCAGCCAAGTGAATCATGGTACCTGCACACATTGTTAGTAAATATGTAAGTGATTCAGGAAATGAACAGCATAATTTGAAAGCTAAATATATTTATATTCAGTAAACTCTTCTTTACAATTTTATTTTATGAGGAAACTTATAACCACCAGAAAATGTGTGGGGTATGGGTTTCCTTTGTTTTTTCATAGTGGATATTTTGCCATGACTGACTAAATTCCTACCTACGCTATTATACCGTGAATGCACTCTGATTGGCTAAGTACTTTATGTTTAATATTATTGTAGACTGCCCCCCAGCTAGGAAGTTAAGTAGGTTTCTTTGGTTGGTTAGGTCAGGTTCTTTTATAATAAGTTTCCATGCACAACAGAAATATGGTTAGGTATGTTTACAGCTACACAACGATCGACTCACGGCTAAATAAATGCCAAATGCCGCCAGTCACGATCAAATATAGTTCTCACGTTCGCCGGTAATGGATGGTTAGCCAATCAGAGCACACTTACGGTAAGATAGCGTTAGTAGGAACTTAGCCAGTCACGGCAAATTATCCACAGCCTTGTTTTTTACATACTTGGTACTTTGGTGATTGTACAGTAAGTAGTTTAGAAGGAGCGACATTTTCACGTTTTGTATGTTTTTATTTTTTCGTTTTCCTATATCTGCGATCATAAACCACTAGTTAGTGGGTAGGGCTTGAAAGAAGATGGAAATTACTTAAAACACGTGAAAGACTGATACGGTGGCATTATTTTTAAGCTTCTACGACTTCTGTACTAAGAAATAAATTTTTCACCGGCAAATATGGAGCCACAGGCCTAATGGCTGTCCGACATTACAGTGGTTCGGTTTTCGCACACTGTGTCTTTCATCTTCCCTTGCAAACTTCACTGTGGGTTACTTAGTTGAATCCCTCTTCAAAAAGTGCTTCATCCAAGAAGGAAACAGATTCCATCAGTTTCTAGAAGCTGTGACAACATTATATAAATCTCAATATTAAGGTCACTTTTATTATATTTTGAGTTAGGTCAGTCTGCCCCCCTCATTTGGAGTAAATGTTGCCTCTTTTAAAATACTAACTATTATGATAAGAACATATTGTGAAAAAATGGAGAAAAAAATCCATAAACTTTTCTGGTGGTAGCGGTGTTCTCATACATTACTGTACCTTAAAAATTAACATTGATTTATCGTGTACACTGATGATTTATATAAACAAACAGCGAGATACAATGGAAATTTTAGTACCATAATATTAATCAGGTTTTAATGACATGTCTTCAGTTATACTTAAATTGTCTATCTGTGGTAATATAGTAGTTTATGGCAATACTGTACTTGGCAAGAGTGGTCCAGCCTTAGCGCCAACTTCAGGAGTTTTCTCCATTGAAGATTAAAGCTTTCGTACCTTGAGAAACTGAAATTACACAAAATGAACAGCATTCCACCTGCATTTCTGTCAGTTTTATGGTTTTTAATGTTTTTCAATGTGGAGGAGCTGCCTCAGTACAGTATACCATGTTTACTTTTTGAGGTCAAGGATTATTTCATATCATAGATTTTTTTTTTTAAACATAGCTACTATCTATGATTTAATATTCATGAAATGAAGAACACTAACTTATATACTGTACCATACCTGACAACCTCTGCTGCCTTCCTCCACCAGTTTCAGACATAAAAAGGGAGAAATTTCTTTAAGATGGTGCTAGGGCTGGACCACACTTGTCATGTAGTGTATTACCATTTACAGTATTTACCAGATATATAATGTACTGTTATATTTTATAAGTTATATTTTATTAGTTATCCTTCATAAAAGAAACCAAATTAAACTTCGGCTTTACGTAAACATTATCCGAGAGGTAAAAAAGGAAGTCTTCTTCAATAGAATTTGTTTCTAAAGTTACTGTACTCCTACTAACAGGACGCAGTTGTAAAATATTACATAAGGTAGCTTATGTAATTTTTGTGTCTGACTGGAAGTGAGTAAATGTACAGTTGTGGAAATGTGTTCCTACACCCCTGTGATAACCTGTCTCCAATTGGCAATTTCGTAGTAATTGTAGTTCTTTTTATTTATGAATGGGTATTGGTCATGTAACAATGGACGTGAATGGTGGATAGGTTTACTATAGGTCATATATGTTGGCTGTTTGGAGACACGGGTTACCACGGGGCGTGGGAACACATTTCCTCAACTGTACCATGCTTTGGGAATTGTGTATATGTGGCTCAATGTATGATATTGAAACAGTTTATTTAGCCAGAAGAACATAGATACTGTGCAGAGTCGAAAAAAAAAATAATATTTACATGGCTAAGCCAGTGAGAGCCTGAACTCTCTTGTAGGCACCTGAGATATACTGTACTGTACATTTATCACGAGGAAGTATTATGTAACATTTAATATCATCTGGAATCGTAAGCATAGCATGGTAGTAATAAGAACATATCAGAATGTTACCACTGATATTTATTTATTTTATGTGAAATGTAGGGATGTCATGTTAAAAAAAAAGAATTGGCAGCACTTTATGACGCTTGTGTATGCAAAGCACCTACTTCTGAAAGATACTGTATTGAAGACAACTTATTCTTTACCAAGAGAAAATGAAAAATTTGACGAGGAATTGCAGTTTTCGTATTTTTAGTTTACTATTTTTTCTGGTAATACAGGTTGTACCTCTCTAGTCCGGCAACCTCGGGACCTGACCGGTGCTGGACCATGGAAATTGCCGGACCATGGAAATTCACCCTTTTCCTGGATAGATAGTGACTTGTGCTTATGCCTGGAAGCACTAGCATCACTTTCTCTGCGTCATGGTCTCTGAAGACATATTGAAGGGTTAAATGTCGTATAGTAGCTTCTCAAATTTCGCGAGTTTTTAATTCTTAACGTATTTTATTGGAACACACAAAAAAATAAATAAATAAAAATTTTGACGGCGGAAACTTGAATTTCGACGGGTTTGAACGGCCCGCCAACGTGCAGACGACGTGCATAATCGTGTAAACAGCGTCATTTCTCTTATGTACAAAAGATTCATTATTGTTTATTACTGAATGTCTTTTTTATTGAATTAATGTTTATGTGTGCAAAATGAGCAATACAATTCATTAATAATACGTAGAATATTAAAACACACGAGGAAATGACACAGCATTGTTTTCGTTGATTACAAAACCAGTGACTGACTGGTTCTACATATAAAACTGAAGAAAATAAGACCTTGGTTGTAGCTGTAGTAAAATTAATATGGTTGTTATAAGTAATGTTATTTAATGTTAATAAATGGAACAATAGAAGTAGCTAACGATAATGGTAAAGAAAAAGAGAGATCGCATATGTAAGTGCGCATGCGCACACGTGAAAACATATCATCATTACTTTACATAAGAATATTAAAGCAACACTTATTTACTGTTCATATATATTTTAATTAATGTTTCTGAATTTGTTTTTATTGAATTAATTTTCGTGCTTGCAAAATTAACAATACAATTTATTAATAATACGTGGAATATTAGAGGAGACGAGACGGCTGCCGGCATTGTTTATGTTAAAGCTTACGAAACCAGTGACTGATTGGTTCTACATATAAAACTGAAGAAAATAAGACCCTGAGTTTAGCTGTAGTAAAATTAATGTAAAAAATGAATATGGTTGCTTGAAGTACCTGTAATGTTATTTAATGTTAATAAATGGAACAATATAAGTAGCTAACCATTAATGGTAAAAAAAAAAGTGAGACTGCTCGTATGTAAGTGCGCACATGTGAAAATATATCGTCATTACTCTACATAAGAATATGAAAGCAACACTTATTTACTGCTCATATATATTGAAGGGTTAAATGTTGTACTCTGTATAGACAAGCAGAGAGAGAGAGAGAGAGCAGCCGAACTGCCGGATGTAAACAAACCTTAATTTCCCGCGGCTTTTTTTTTTTTTTAAGGGGATTAGCCCACCCGGGCATAGGTCACTGACCCACATTGGGGCCTGAGGGGCAAAAATTTAATACTCCTGTAATAATAATAATAATTCAGATAAGTAAACAAAAAAAAACTGCCTATCTACCTATTGGACAAACTAAAATCGTTCCGGACCACGGGAGTTTTCGGACCACAGTTTGCCGGACTAGAGAGGTACAACCTGTACTGGAAGACAGTAGTGCACATTAATCAGCAAATTGAGATAATTACTCTGTAGAAGTGCTTTCTTGCCTCATGAAAAGTCCAGAAAGCTTGTGAGAATTTTTATTTATTTTTATTTTTTTTATAATATTTAAAAAAAATCCATTGTCAACAATATTCTACATACTCCCAAGCACTTCATTGCCATATCTACTGTTTACATCTGGGACATTTAGTTTTTATTCACGGGTACACCTCCAAAACAAATCAGAAAATACTGCTACATGATTTATTGGGAGTGAAATGATTTGACATAACTAACTGTCAAGCCAGGTTTTTTTCGTTTTTCCATTAAATCACATAATGTATCAGTAATTGTTAAATCATTTCCATATGAAATGAAATAACTAAGCAGTCCTGTAGCTAAAATTAAATTTCCTGGATTTAAGCATATGGCTTTGGCATCATAGCACACTGTGCATTGTTTTCAGAATGGGAAATATAAAAATAAACATACAGTGGTCCCTTGCTTAACAAACGGTCCAATTAACAAATTTTCGGTTAACGAATTAGCTCCCATAAGGATTTTCAATTCCATTAACGAACAAAACTTCGATTAACGAAAGCCTTACGTGAAACACGCATCAGCTGATTGGCTAGTCCACCAATACAGTAATTGGTTCTATGTTTACATTCGTTTCCAGTGGAGTAAATATCAAAAAAGTTGTGCTCTTGAATTTTTTTGCATTTTTTATATTAAAATTATTGGTGTAACAGTTTGTGTGCCAACAGCGGATCGAATCACCCACCAACGGTTCTCAGTTTAACTTTGTTTACAGGGGAGTGAACATCCAGTTTGTTGATCACTTGAATATTTTTGCATTTTTACATTAAAATTATTGGTAATTCTGAAATTTAGTTCGCATATTGATAATATACAGTGCATAAATTATTATGAAACTTGAAGAAGGCATTAGAACCAATGCACTCTGTAAAGAATATGGCATGTCATCATCGACTGCCTCTACAGTCAGCTGTTTGATATGTAAACAAAGCTGCCGGGAATACGACATACACACCTCAAAGTAAGTTAAAATGCAGTTTTCTATTGTTTTTTATTTATTATTATACAGTATACAGTACTGTATTTAGTTTATATTTAATGTTTTGTTAATTCTATTAGCGGTATATAGTACTTTGTATGTAATTTTTCTGTGAGTTGGAACCAATTACCCAATATCCCATTGAAATAGTGGATTCAGTTAACGAAATTTTCAGTTAACGAATGACTCTGTGCAACCAAAATTGTGTTTGTTAATCGAGGGACCACTGTACTAATAAAAATTTCAAGGAAGCTTTTCGTTCTTTTCATGGGGTAAGAAAAATATTTTTCTCAGGTTGCTCGTTAATGTGTGCTGCTGTCTTCCAGTAGCTATATAGCTACTGTATTACACTCTTCTCATCCTCAATACTAATTTACATCTACCAACAATGTCCTGCCAGTGCCATTTTAATTGTCTACTTAAACACTTCCAGTGACCCATTGCATGAACATGAAGCCTCTGGTGAATGATACACTATACAATATATCTGTATGATTTATAACTATGACATAAGATGAACCAATCTAACTAAAATAAAATTGATTACATCATTGGGTAAGTTTGGGTTAGTTCAGCTTATCTTGTACAGTATACAGCAGATCATATATACCATAGCAATCAGTACAAATGTTCGTTGTTTGGTAAGCGTTTGTTTCTCGGTATCTCATCAAGCAGCAAAATCGTGGTGGAAATATACACATGCAAAAATTGCAATTCCTTGTCATTATATTTTTTCTTTGGGTAAGAAAGAAATTTGTTTATATACAAACTACTGATACGTAGTCAAATTTAGGTGGTTAAGGCATGTGCCATAAAGTACCTGCTACAGTATATCAGTTTTTTTAATTCTCCATTATTTTTCCATGGTACATTTATTTGTGCAAGTTTTCTTCCCCTTGTGCCACTGCCTATGATACCATTGCCTGTTTATCTTCCACTCTTCAGCATCTTGAATGAAACCATCACAGAACTGTGTCTGACTTTAGCAGAAATAAACCACTTGGTGACAAGTACTCAAAGTTGTCGTTGTTCAGTGTCTCAGTACAGGGTACTGCTAAAGTTCAATTCAGTGATGACAAAGACTTTTTTAGTGTGTATTGTACAGATATTTGTGTTATCATTCCATGTTAGTGATCAAATTGCTACTTTATAAGTGGTTTTCAATCTTAATTTTCCCAGCACCTCGTCAGGAGGCCAGCACTGTATCAACTTGGCCACTACACCTCTCCCTCAAGGAGAATACAAGCATCAACTAATAATAATGATCACAATTTTCCATCCTGAACACAGTCCTAAAGTATTTTCCCTCTCCAGATGCCTAGCATTAAACTTCAGAGCAGCGATGGGGACACTTTTGAGGTGGACGTGGAAATTGCTAAACAGAGCGTCACCATAAAGACTATGTTGGAGGACCTGGGTAAGTGTGTTTACCTTTTTCATTTTAAGAAAGGAAGTGAATGGTTCCTGATTTTGTTTGTTTTTATCTTCGAAACTATTACATTACTGACATAATAAACAAAGGACACAAATCAACTTGGAGGTTATTGACACCAAGTAAAAAAAAATCAAAATAGCAAAATTCTTTACATTGTTTTGTCTTGTTTGGTGCATTTTCACCCATATTTTTTGCCTGTAACAGTACAGTAATCCCATTTTTTTCACGGGAATTACATTCCTGAAACCCCCGCGAAAAGCCAAAACCGCAAATACTCTTAGGAATCACTCTTCCTGTGGCCACCAAACAGCTCAGGTAGGTCATGCACTTAACCACGCCATGCTCTCCACTCACTGCCCAGTGGTCACACTGATGCACTGTACCGGCATTTACTAACATCATTATTTGAAACTAATCATATTGTAGTATAATAATGGAAAAACGTAAATACAGTTATATACAAAAAAATTATTTACAAGTAAATAAAAACATTTATATTTCGCTGAGGTCGGCAACACCCTCATTGCCAGCCTCTCCTTGCTGTCCCGGCGTCTGCCCACCCTCACGCCAGCCAGCCAGTCCTCTTCCACCCACATTCCTCCACTTGAAGACTTGTATTCTGACAAAAGACACAAATGAATTGTCAGTCTTCACCATCTCGAGCCATAGCTCATACCACCTCTGAGTTTGTCCAATAAAACTTTTTTTTTCCGTTAAGGTCATCACTATTCTTGATCTCTTGGTCACTTTAGAGTCTTTGCTAGTAACATTTGCCTTTGATGAGGCTGGCTTACGTCCCGGAGCCATGTGGAATGCACGTGGGAGGATAAACAGAAGAGGTAATCACAGTAGCTTTCGCAGTATGGTAGGCAGGTGTGGACTGAGGCTTCTCGGAGCAGCAGGTGTCTGAGGCGGGAAAGGGTGGCGTCTGTTTGCCGCATCGCACAGGGGAATATTGAAAATGGCGCGAAATTTAAATTTTGGTTTTAAAGGATATTTTATATACAGGTATATAAAATTTTTGAGTAAAAATCGCGAATGGTCAAAACCACGATAAAAAAAACGCGAAAAACACGGGATTACTGTACTCTTAATGTTGAATATGTGTAGTTTTTTAGTACTGTATTGTATTCGAAATGCAGGGTAATGAATAATATTGTTTAAATTGTAGGCAGAAATATTCATACTTAAGCCATCAAAAGAGAATAAGAGCTAGAATTTTGCAATATATTGATGGATCCTGTTTGTACATGACACATTTGAAGAGATAGGAGCGTGGTAGCAAAGGAAACTACTGTATAAGTCAACTTTGGGAATTTTACTCTTGTCTTCGTGTTTTGACCTGAGGAAGACTGTATGGTTGAAACACATGCCAAGAGTAAAATTTCTAAAAATCTACTTGTGGTTCCTTTGCCATCACACTCCCAGTCCTTTGTTTGTACAGTACAGTATACAAGTATTAATACAAGTGAAATCTGCACCTGCAGTGATAAACAAATTGCAAATCTTACAAAGTAATTTACATATGCTCTTTTATCTTAAAATACTATCCCAAATCTTTGATTTTTCATATGGCTCAGACATTGTAGTAAAAGGTGGTACAGTAGATCTCTTATCAGAAATGATTGATACTATTTTAGGTACTGTTTGTAATTGTTGGAAGAAAAGTGAAAAATAACATTTGTTCTTAATTTAAGATACTTTGTTTATCGATATTAAAAATGAATACAGTATTGCTTTGTTTATCGATATTCAAAATGAATACAGTATCGCTAATATGTTATGTAGACTGATTGGGTCATCCAGGATAGCTGAAGTTAAAGCAATATTAGAGGAAATATTTCAGTCCATTGTCTCATTTAGTACTATACTCATAAAACCATAACACCAGTTGTAGAAGAAAACTAAAGGTCAGCCATCATTACTGGAATATTCAGAAAGTTATTAGGAATAAGCATTGACAAGTAAGTGACTAGTAACCAACACTAAATGTGGGTGTTTTCAGGTATTGGAATTTCAGGTTCTATTGTATGGTTAATAATGTTGTGTCCCAGACTTCATAATAGTACATATTTGTCTCTATGGATCTGCCTTTTGCTTCAGGAATGGATGAAGATGAGGAAGAAGTGGTGCCCCTTCCAAATGTAAATGCTGCCATTTTGAAGAAGGTCATCCAGTGGTGCACCTACCACAAAGACGACCCTCCTCTTCCAGACGATGACGACAATAAAGAGAAGCGCACTGATGACATCTCCTCTTGGGATGCAGACTTCTTGAAGGTGTGAACAAAAAATTTTACCTATTGCAAAGATGTTTAGATCAACATCTTTATATTGCTCTTTTATTGATACTTGGCATATCTACAAGTGAAGATAAAATGAAAGTCAGAGAATGTAAATTGTCAACAAAATTCAAGTTAAAGAATAGTGCAACTACATTGAGGTCATGCTGTGTTTAATTACATTTGCAACCATAGTTTGTTTATGAAGGTACCAGTCATTGGCTTTTTTTAATGTTTTACACAAGGGAGTTATTCTGAAAAAAAATTAGTTAGACCTCTCAATACCTCACCAACAAATTTCATAAATGTTTCAGAGGTGAAGACCTTTAATTTGTAAAATTTGCATAGCTTGAATTAAATTACTTAGACTTTTTTTAAGTGGGACATCTCAAAGAACTACAGAACCATTCACTTAATTTATTTTCAATATGTTTTCTTTTATGATTTCTCTAATTTTATAACAACATTCCATCTCTGAAATAGATATTGCGCATCCTTTCCAGGCTTCTTGTCTCTTTAATACATTCTTGTCTTGTAGGTTGATCAGGGCACACTGTTTGAACTCATCTTGGCAGCAAATTACTTGGACATTAAGGGCTTGCTGGATGTCACATGTAAGACCGTTGCCAACATGATCAAGGGCAAGACCCCAGATGAAATACGCAAGACTTTCAATATCAAGAATGACTTCACACCCTCCGAGGAAGAACAAGTCCGCAAGGAGAATGAATGGTGTGAGGAAAAGTAAAACTATTGTAAACAAAGGTTCTTGGACACATGGATAATCTCATCCTCGGTGTTAGTGGAAGGATGCAGAGCAATTGGATGGTAGAGTCAGTCGTTATATGGAAAGAAGTACATAATGGAAAATCAGTTACATAAGACAACCTAAGTTATTTAGAAGACATCATTGTAAGGTACTTATCTTTCAATATGTAATGAGAATATTTCATGCTTGCATAATGTTGTTACTTGACGTGTAGAATAAATTACTGTACATTATACTGTAGTAGATGTACATGACTACTGGTACCTTTCACCACGACTGACATTCAGGTATGTCAGTGTCCAGTTTCGAAAGGACTAAATTGAGGCTTCTTGAAATTGGATAAAGCAATTGAACAAATAGTTTTGAGTGCTTGAATAATATATACAGTACAGAGGTTAAGTGGAACTGGAATAATTTAAAAAAAAATGCATGATCTGCTGTACATGCATTTGTCACCCCCTTAACACAGTACAGTACAGTATAGACGTTTGTGCAAGTAAAGTGATTCTTCAGCGAGTTTTTTTGCCTGTGCATGTCAGGAGGCTTTTTATGAAAAGGTAAGACTGAATTTCAATGTTCTATAGCTTTTGGAACATCTTAGTTTTGACCACACTTAAACCGAGCAGAAGAATGTATTGGAATCTATTCATTCAGTTTGTAAAAATAATTTTGAAATTTTTCTGAAAAAATAATTTTGACATTTTTCTTATGACAAACTGTTTATTCTTGTAATGTACTCTCAGTCTTTTCCATCTGGGTTATTTATATGAACTATGTCTGAGTGTATGGTTTATTAAATATGTACATCATATTTAGTACTTACCATTATCCTTTACTAAATGGAAAGGTATGGCTGTCAGTCATATTTATTTTAACTAATTTTCCTTCTCATCTTTATATTTTTTACCCCATTTTATTAAGTTCTGTTTATTAGACAGGATCAGCAAAAAATTCTATTAAAGGACTTCAAATAAACCTTCAGTTTTCAGTGGTGTATTATTTTCACATTGAAAATGGAAATTTTATTATATATATATACAGATAGACCCCGACTTACGACGGGGTTAGGGACCCAAATCCAGGTCGTAAGTCCGACAGATAATTTTTTAAAAATCTGCAATACAGTCACCCTTAGCAGCGTTTCACTTACGCGATTTCTCTATATACTGCTGTGCCTGCAAGAACCGAACTTTCATCAAAACACACTTCACCCGCCACCCATGTCTGTCAGTGATATAGTGATATAGGATAGATAATTTTGAGGGTTTGAAAAGAGGCCCTGCAAGCCTCTGTAGGATAGTGATACAATTGATAAGTGATAGGTGAGGGCAATAATCTGCCTTCTGCCTCGGGGAACCCCCCATCCCCTTGTGCCCAGCCATCTTTTCTACTAATGCAAGTGTTAAAAAACTAATATTATTGATATTTCTCTTAATTATTAATTGTGTGTACGCATACCATCATAAAGTTAAGATAATATTTTTACTACAACATATAGTGGTCGTCAAAAGTGGAGTTGTATTTTAGTCTTGAATCCCATGTTCTGTTGTTCACTAATGGAAGCTACTTTCAATTTTTGTCGTTAAGCGGTGCATATTACTGTACAGTAAAAGTAATGAGGAATGGATACAGTACAGTAAAAATAAATAATAAGGAATGGATACAGGTGGCTGAGCACTTACCTTTAATGTAGTCAGCTGAAGGAATCACATCAATTATGTTAAGGAGACCTACATTAACTGGAAACGCTTCGTATAGAAAATCGTGTCATTACTGAAAAAAATTTATTAAAAATCTGCTCGGTCGACTCATATATCTCGCCTATAAGGCGCCAGGTGCATAAAGGCGGCCCCCAAATTTCCATTTAAAAAGTAGCTTTTGTGGCTTTATTGGCTGTATAAGACCAGTACCCCAAATGTGACACTTCTTACCCACTGACTTCGGTTAGTCCTTTACCAACCATCTGATTTTTTAAACAATTCACTTCTCAAGTAATGTCATCAAATGTTACCCGCTGGTGTAAACACTAGTAGCGTCACTAGCCTCTGCCATTTCACCTCGGTAACTGGAACTATATATATATATATATATATATATATATATAGTGGGTATGCTATAAATCTAATCTAATTGGTTCTAGAACCTTGTTCACAGCATTCGTTCAAGATTAATTATTCAGGCTCCACAACCATACTTAAATACTGAAAAATATAATATAAAAATTGTAAAAATTGTAAAAAGTGCATAAATAAGCATCTAAACCCTGAAATAAAGAAAATCATTAAACTTGTAATAAAAATAAATAAATTATAAAAAAAAAAAAAAAAAAAAGAATTTTTTTTTCTTCAAATAATATTCGTTGTAGGAGTTTTTGTTTACATAGCAATCTCAATTTTATAGGTAAAACCGTTCGTTAGGAATATTCGTGTTAAGTGAAATCAAGTGAACAACAGAAATGTTGAATTCTAAACTCCACTTTTGAAGGCACATACCTATGTTGTAGTAAAAAATAACATCTTAATTTTATGATGACATGCACTAAAATTAATACTTAAGAGAAATAGAGAAATACAGTCGCCAAGTTAATGTCCATTCAAATAATGGACTCAACTCA